ATGCCACAGATGCCACAAGCAATGAGGGAGCGTGCAATTGGCATGCTGACAGCAGGAATGTCAACCAGATCTGTCGCCCGTGCATTGAATGTTCATTTCTCAACCATAAGCCGTCTCCACAGGCGTTTCAGAGAATATGGCAGCACATCCAACCGGCCTCACAACCGCAGACCTCGTGTAACCACACCAGCCCAGGACCTCCACATCCAGCAGGTTCACCTCCAAGATCGTCTGAGACCAGCCACCCAGACAGCTGCTGGAACAATTGGTTTGCACAACCAAACTGTCAGAAACCGTCTCAGGGACGCTCAACTGCATGCCCGTCGTCCTCATCGGGATCTTGACCTGACTCCAGCTCGTCGCCGTAACAGACTTGTGTGGGCAAATGCTCACATTCGATGGCGTCTGGCACGTTGGAGAGGTGTGCGCTTCACGGATGAATCATGGTTCACATTGTTCAGGGCAGATGGCAGCTGAGAATGTCCCAGTTCTTGCATGGCCAGCATACTCACCGGACATGTCACCCATTGAGCATGTTCGGGATGTGCTTGACCGGCGTATACGACAGCGTGTACCAGTTCCCACGAATATCCAACAACCTCGCACAGCCATTGAAGTGGAGTGGACCAACATTCCACAGGCCACAATTGACAATCTGATAGACTCCATGCGACGATGTGTTGCACTGCATGAGGCAAATGGTGGTCACACCAGATACTGACCGGTTCTGGGTCCCCAGACCCCCAATAGCGCAAAAAACTGCACATTCCAGGGTGGCCTTTTGTTGTGGGCAGTCTGAGGTACACCTGTGCACTACTCATGATGTCAGATCAGCATCCTGATGTGGCACACCTGTGAGGTGGGATGGATTATCTCAATATGGCAGATGTGCCCACTACCACACATTTGGACTGATTTGTGACCACTGTTTGGGAGGGATGGTTATATTGTGTATCTGGAATGAATTTTAGGTCTCTACGTCCATCCCATGGGGAATGGGAGCAGTAACAAAGGTGTTGCGTTTATATTTTTGTTGAGTGTATATATATATATATTCTATACAATATAAAAAGAAGCCTGTCGCACTTCTGAGGTGTTATTGAAGCCTGGGTTGTGGTGTTCAGGTCAGGCGAGGTGGCTGGCCAATCAAGCAAAGTAATAGTATGGTCAGCAGATAATTTGGTAGTAGTTTCGGCACTGTGCCAGGTGATAAGAAATTGGCATCTCCACAAAGCTCGCATGCTCTAAAATCACTTGGTAGACAGCAGTGTTGACTTTGGACCTGATAAAACACAGCAGTCCATCTGCCAGCACCTGCACCAGCAGATCACATGTCACTCTAACTCAGGCGTGTCAAACTCAAATACACAGTGGGCCAAAATTCAAAACTGGAACAAGGTCGCGGGCTAACATTAATATTTATTGGGAAAAAAAATCTTCCTCCAGATTTAAGAATGAATCTCTTCTAATGGACTCAAACAAGTTTTGCTGAAAAACAGAATATGGAACAAGGAAAGCTTAATACTAAACAATATATATATTAGTTGTATAATACCAGTAGGCCAGCTCTAATAATAATTTGGTATGGCTCGCGGTATGGCCAAATTTGGCCCGCGGGCCAGAGTTTGACACCTATGCTTTAACTCATCACTGACTTCATTGTAGACTTCAAACACCTTGGATTCTGCTCTTTGCTCTTCCTCCAGACTTTAAGAACTTGATTTCCTAAAATACTGAACTTACTTTCATCTGAAAATAAGAATGTGTCACAGAACCTTTGGTTTAGGAGTGTCTTGATATAAGGGGTGAAACAGTTGTTTGTTGGCTCTGACAACATGCACATGTTAGTAGGTGTACAACAATCACCATCACACAAACGTTCATGCTATTAGCAACAACATTTGCTAAAAGCCATTAAAGAAAAAAAAAAAAGCAGATCTGAAAGGAACAAAATTAGTTTTGCAGGTTTGATGGATTTACATTTTGACATAATGGTGGTAGATAATTAGTAAAGAGGAAACTCTCACCAGATCCCAACTCACGGTTGGTTTTTTGTTTTTTTTCTTTGGGGGGGAGGGGGGGGGGTTGGGCTTAATCAAGTCAGTTAGTTATAACCTTTAAAAAGAAGCACCCTTTACCTCTAAATTTGGTTGAAATGTGTGATGGAAAATTTTTGTTTCACCTCATCTAACCTCTGCGTACTATTGATATGCAATTGTAAATTTCTTGTATAACGAAAGAGTGTATGAAGACGGGAAAACAAATGACTTTAAGATTTGCTCAAGGCCATGATACACTTCATTATCAAGCTGGTGCCTAGATGATGGCGAGGATTTCACTCCCAACCACTGAATAGACAAAGATTGTATCCGCACAACGGCTTTAAAGGAGCTGTTATTATTTTACCTGTTGGTCAACGCTGGTACAAACCCCGTTTGCATTGTATTGATCCCTTTGCAAGGGTTTAACTTTCTTTCAATAAATCTCAGAAAATCTGTTTGGTTTCAATGCTTAAATTATTTTTCCGCAACAAAAGAGAAGAAGTGATTCATGATTTTTTTTCTCAAAAAAGAGCTTGGCATTTTTACTAAATTAAATAAATAAAATCTTATCCATACATCCATCCATTCGCTTCCGCTTATCCTTTTCAGGGTCGTGGGGGGCAGTGGAGCTTATCCCAGCTGTCTTAGGGCGAGAGGCAGGGTACACCCTGGACAGGTCGCCAGTCTATCGCAGGGCTAACACACAGACACATTCACACCTCTTTTCAATTTAGAGTTTCAAATTAACCTGTCCCCACTAAATAAAATCTTATTTGGTTGTGAAATGTTAGAATGTGGACATATAATGTCGACCAGCCCTGAAAGTCATTTTTTAAACAATAACAAATTTAGTTTTATAAATCTCATGTCATTATGTGCTTCTGTCACTGGAAACAACATTAGCAGGGCAGCGGGCCTGATGGCAAGAATGGCCTAAGCTCTAATCTCCTGTTTGTTTGATATTTATATTTTATTCCTACATAGCTGCCGTAGAGCACCCACAATTTGGTTTTAAATGTACAATGAAAATAAAAGACTATTCTCTTCTCTTCTATTGTTGGCATAGTTGAACTGTTGATAAAATACACCGTTTTACTCTTTAATAGAATTTAAGATATGTTTTCTAGACTATTTTTGAACGAAACTGATGAAGACAGCATTCAGGTTTTACTTTTTTTTTTACCAAATCTCAGTGTTGTTTAGAATTCTCCAAAGTGATCTGTAATATCTTCTCAACAATATTTGCTGGGTAGGAAAGTTAGTGGACCAACAAAGTCATAAAAGTCATTAAAGTAAATGGAAATCCACAGAGAAATTGTTGAGATATTTCAGTCCAGACTAAAGTAATAGAGTGACCAACCAAGCATCCCTTGAGCCACTCTTCTAGCATGTCTAACAAGTACATGCAGCTATTCCTTAATAGTATGGATTTTCTTCTACAGCAACAAATGACTCATTGCCTGAAAAGCAGGACAAGTTGACATAATCCCCGAAGACTGCAGGCTTCAGCCTTTTACAGCTCATGGACTGCTCTTGCAACTTTACAGAGCAGCCAAAAGACACACTATGTTTCCTGGAGGCCCCCAGATGTGAACATCTTAGAGTGTATAAAAGCAAACACCTAACAACAAACATGTGCAAACAGATCTGTGAAAGTGCCACAGAAAAAGATGAGGCTCACAATGGGTTACAGCGCCTAAACACGAGTGAAGCGCACATACACACCTGCACACACCTTGTCTAACTTAAAATTCCTGTTTTCCTCCTGCCTGTGCTGTCAAGGGTAATAAAACTAACTTACAACTGCGTTCTCCCACCACACGGCCTGGAAGCAGAACTCCTCCCACCCCCTTAACTTCTTCATTTAAATGTGCATTTTGAAGAACAAGCGCTTTTCACATCTCCAAAGGATGTTGATGACTTGAGCACAAATCTCCATACATTTTCATGAGCTAGAAGCAGCGCTATCACGTCGATCTGTGAGGAAATAGCTGGCAGGTTTATGAAAATATAAATTGAAATTTTTTATGAGGAGCGCAGTAATTGAAATATGAAGCAATAAATGAAATATTTATTTTTTAACAGAAATATATCACTTTGATAAAGCTGTTATTGGTGTGGGCCGACTGTCATATTTGGACATTTTTTTCTGCATTTCTTTATAAAATGGAATTTGTGGATGTCCTTACAATAAAGCTTTATGGATCAACATAAAACACTGTTTACTGTCATGGGTAATGCTATTACATTTAAAATCTTTGGTGGGGCACCAAATAACAGATAATGGAAAAAGAAAACAAACCCTTTAAAGTGATAGGAAGGGATTTTTTTTATGTTAGTCCTGGTTTGGGGAGATAGAAGGAACAACGTGGTTTTTCTTACACTTATCAGTTGGTGCTCAAATAACACTAAAATGTTCCAAGAAAAAGTCCCCCAAACCATTACACACCAACAGACTGAACTATTGATATGAGGCAGGACAGAACCACACTTTCATGTGAGTCGACCAAAGACTGACTCTACCAGGAGAAGAAATTAAGACAATTTTTATAGTCTTCTGTTGTCCAGTTTTGGTGAGGTGTCTGTAGTTTCCGTTTTTTAACTGACAGGAGTGGTACCCGTAATTATGAGCACTGTTGAAGAGATGTATATAATAAAGTGGCCAGTGTCTGTAGAAAATTAGAAAATTAAATTTAATTAAACCTTATTAATATTTTATATATTGTTCTAAAACCTTCATATTTCTTGAACATGTCTTATTATATTTTGATTTTGATCCACAGTGCCTCTTACCTTATGGATCTATTTTATCTTGTTATATTATTGTATATTTTCTTTTACTAATCTTTTTGACATTATTTGCACTATTTTTAATAGTTGTGATTAATATCTGAAAATTTAGGATAAATAAACTGTATCTTATACAACTATAGTATTTTACTCAGATTGCATGCTTACCAAACACTTTGAGGAAGAGCTCTCTTTCCTGGGATCCTGCCTTATTGGTGGCTCTGCAGGAGTAGGTGCCTCCATCACCCTGCCGGATGTTGCGGATGGTTAACATGCTCCGCCCGCCATCAAGCCTGTTCAAAATGTACTGGTCCGATGGCTCCAGCTGCTGCCCTTTCCTGCACGAGTGAAAAGCAGAGGCACATAAGTAAGGAGTGGAAATATTTGGCAACTACCTCAAAACTGACACTGAACTCCTAAAATATGAATGCGTCAGTACACGTTTGATGTTACAGATGTATAATCTCTGTATTTTGGGTGTCAACCGATCCCATAAAAATCAGGCAAAGTGCAGACACCTCGGCTTTGAAACTATTTCTATCTATAGCAGGTAAACAGGTGAAAACATGACGGCACTTTTTATAGACACTATTTGAAGTGTGATGAAAGGATTGTTTTGGATAAACAGATCAGGCAATAATTGAAATAACAATTGCTCGATGAATAGTTTGTTGTATGTCATCAGAGTTGTGAAACTCTGCCATGCAGAAAAGTAACATCTTTATCGTGTCAGTTACAGGCCTGCCAGCACTCACTAGTGTTGCTGTGAATGTTTTCTTATGGACTGCAATGCTCACTAAATGACTCCGGTGTGGTGCGGAGATGCATTGCTGACTTAATGTCTTTTCTTACTGGGCTCTGTGGGGAAATTATCCAGAAAAATCAAACTGATAAATTGACGCATGTCTATATTTAAGCTTCATAACAAAATCATAATAGTCTGACGCATGTTAGCTGCCTCCTCCGCTTGTTTATTTGCAGCTAGTTAACCAGGCGTGTAGTCTAAAAGGTTCAAGGGATAGCTTTGTTTTTTTTGATTTAGACAACAGGTCCTTTTACAGCATTTGTAAGTCGCTAAAAATAAGATTAGCTTAGTTACTGAATTCATGTAGGATCAAGCAGCAATGGCACCCAAAACACGGGAAATACCTGTTTACATACATTTAATTTTGTAGCACACAAATTTAATTCTCTGATATGTAACCAGAATTTTCTTTTAAGATCTACTTTCCTATACTGCATATCAGCAAACTACAGACAGCTGAAGTTTGTGTTTAGTATGTGAATACCCAATACAGCCCAATACTTTACTTGTGAGCTTATGGATATTACAACAAAACAAACTTAGTATTGACCTGGGGGACACAACATGGGAAGATCGCTGATGTTGCTCTCCATGTCCTGGATTTGTAAATACGTACCTTTGGTAACATGGTAGCATTCTTACTATGAAAACTGATAATACTGTTGTGCTATTTATGAATATTAATAAAGAAAAATGCCAAAAAAGGACAAATTTGGAAGGGACTCTTTAAAACTAACATATACAAACCAGTGTGTACAGTGCAGATTTAACTAGACTTTGTTTTGCATATTGCATTTCCTCAAATAAAATAACTGCAGCCAGTTAAAAGCTGTGTCTCTAATAATAATAAACACTTGGGAAGTGGTTGATGCAAACAAATTAAAGCCAGACAAAATGAATGTTTGTTCATGTCTGTGTCAGTTTAAGTAAACTGTGAGAACATGGGTGCAGCAGTTTCTGGGTTGCTCTCTGGCAAAAGTAAGATCTCTACAGAGATCCAAACTGATCTTTATTATGTGTGACTTACTGCGCTCTGCAGTTTTATCAGTACATGCATTAACTTTACCAAAGCAAATGGAAAGTTTTTTAGTGAAATATACTACTTATTAAAAAAAAACCTTAAAAAAAAAAATACAGGCCTGCCTTTGATCCAAGCCCTGGTTACTACTTCCTTCTGATAACTTGTGAAGACCCTTCTTCTGTCATAAAACAAAAAGTTATTGCTTCAACACAGCTTTTCTCTACTTTGTTGTTATAACTAAGCTTTATTGGAGCTTTTCTAGTACTTATATTTAATTTAAGCTCTATGAACGAACCCTAACAAGTAAGACGTTTATGTTCTGGGAGTTTTCATGTAGGATAGCATGTTTAAACTTGAACAAGAGTGCCACAGTCACCATTTTTTGCCCAATTTATGTATTAATTAAGTAAAAATTGGATTTCAGACAGTTCATTATCAATTGAAAAATGGCTCATTTACTGCAGGGTTTGCACTTAGTTTTTCTCCCCAATTCTCACTCAGTGAAATATTTAATCTGCCCAGGGGATCTGAAAGGCTTACATATAGTTTTATGTATCAGTGTGAATGTGAAGCAGAGCATAAACGGATGAGATTCTCGAAATTAAAATCATTAAGGGTTTACATAAACGAACACAAAACAGATAAAGCTGATCTGATGTTTGCAAATGTGCTTCAGCATATTCAGTTGTGATTCATTATTAATCTGCCCCACTCGCAAATATAAAGAAAAGGTATGAAAAGAGATAAAAAAAAAAAAAAACATTTCGTTAAATATGGACAATAGCATCTTGTTTTTTTATTTTATTTTACAAGTTATTTTATGTAATAAATTCAGAACAGATATATCTCAAGTCTTCAGTTCAGGCTGTTGTATTATTCACAGTGTATATTTTACTGTTCCACTAAAAAACTCTTATTTTTTTAGAGATTTCACATGAGGGGATTTGAAGACTCAGACACAAATAGACACGAGTGCAGTTATACTGCGTGGTGAGCTCGGCCTCATTGTACTGTAGGAAAAGCGAGAGGGAGGATAATTGAAAGTCGTCAGAGGAAACACCAAAGCCAAGTAATAATAACTCTGGTGAGCCAAAGAGGAAATGAAGAGAGGCCTCATCTTTGGAATGGACAGTGGAGGGCGTGCTGCAGTGCTGAATGTCATTATACTGACTGACTGCTGACAGGTAGTCCATTACCCAAGATGCACAGAGGATGAGGTGAAACCTCGCTCTGACAGGAAATGCAACGGGAGAGCCTGGAATTAGTTAGGAGGGGTGGCATCAAAAGAAAAACTAAATTGGAATGTGATGCGTTGTTTATACCGAAGCCTTTGTTGTGATTTACGCATTTTAATTCTGTAGTCTGGGACTGACACACAGGACTTATTGACCTGGGAAATGAAACAGACTACACAGAAATGTTTGGCAGTCCATGGTCACTAAAAAAGTTCAAAATCTGCAGTCAGCTGAAATGAGACCTTGACAGGTGATTTATATTTTATTCAGTCAGCATTAAAAAAAATAGTACGTGAGCATTAGAGTGAAGTGGGAGCATGCAAGAGTACCCTTTCAAGTAAACCTCGCAGGATGGTATGCTGAAATAAAACATGCAGCACATTATGTACATTATGCAACTGACATCCACTGGGGTTTGGGTGTATTTTAGCTCCATGCTAAAGCACGTATGATATGTGTTATGATTTTATGGTTTTTCTGTTATGCACTTTTTTCATTTCATGGTGCTAAAAGTGGCAAAACAATTCATAGAAAGAGGTGAATGTTGCTCCAATGTCACCATAAGCCTGTATCTAACCCCAAATGTTACGGAATCAGTCTATAACTGACTGTGCCTGGTCACTGATGACCTTGTACTGTGACACATCTCTTTGCAGTATGGAACTTGACCTTGAACCTTTCTATCTATTCTATTTCTATATAAAACAAGGTTGTCAGGACAAAATGTTGTCCTGCAGCAACTATGTTAATATTTGTTTACTCATTTTTTAGTTTTGATTTTTGCCAGTTTATCTCAAATAATTGCCATTTTTCATATTGCCGATTGCAAGTAATTGCCAACTGGACTCCGTTTAGCTGCAGACTGATTCCTACTGATTCTTAGTGCTCTCTTGATGTACCAAAGTTGCTTTAAAGACAGCAACTGACTGCGAGTGGTCTTCAAAGGCAATGAGATCACAAGTTCGTTTCACAATGTCTTGTTAATATTTTTTCCAAGTATGACTGTGTCATAATAGGTTAAAAAGCACTCGCACAAAGTTAACATGCTAATTCAAATGGTGATGTTGAACTTGCAATTTTCATGCCTCTGATAAAGACTAAGGTGTCTAGGTCTGGCACAAGGTTGTGCCATTATCTACTTGTAGCAGGGTAGTGGCCAAGCCACATTACTACAGCTACACTCCATGAGACTAAAAGTGTCACAAAACCCCAAAATATGTCAAAATAGAATCTCAGTATGACCCACACTTTGAGAGCGAATGACATACTGCCAATGTGCAAGCCTAAGAACCACAGAGCAATGAAAATACATGTGCACAGCAGGTTTTAGTGCCTCAACCTGCTATGTTAGGACACAAAGTTACTCCAATCACATTACAGTAATCCAAAGCATTACTGTAAAAACAAATCAAGTAATCATATTAGCCAGTAATCCCTCACTTATCCCTTTCCGACACACTCACCCATTCAAACCTTCAACTGGTACCGCAAGTTCTTCAATTATCTGCACGATGAGTACTCAGATAAAACAAAATCAAGGGTAATGTTTTTTCTGTGCACTTGGGCTACAATCAGCTGACTTCAGCTGATGTAGTAGGGGAAGAAAAATAGCAGAGCGGTGTCCAGCTTTCATTTTTCGCACAGTACTTTCGACAGCATGCTGTCAAAGTGAGCAGTGAAGAACTCAGACTGATGTCAGAGTATATGCTGACCCCAGCCAAGCATCTAAAGCTTCATTTTCAACAGGCAACAAAAGCAGTTACGGCACCTGTTCCTATCACAGAATCACTGTGGCCGTAACATTTTTCTTTGAAGTGCTGCATTTTAACTTTGCCCTCGGCTTTGTGTGAATTCTTAAACACTTACAAAAAGACCTTGTGTGTGTGTGTGTCCTCATTAGGATAGGCCAGGATGCCAGTGTGTGGAACAAGGCTCATATTGTTAAACGGCAATTGTGTGCCAATGCATCTCAGGTGGTTATGCGAAATAACACAAAATTAATGTGATGAGTGGTGTTTCTAATTAATTTCTACAGGTATAATTAAGTAACATAGCATTTTAACCTTTAAAAAGTAACGAGTTATGTGTAATGCATTACTTTTTGGTGTAATAACCCCGATCTGTTAATGCTCCTAACAAGAATCACTTTGCAAGATGAAAGAATTAGGCTCAAGGATACCCAAGGTAGCGTAAGTGTAATGTCAAGGGGTTCTGAACAAGCATCCAAGTGTGACGAGCTGGGTGTCACCATTATGGTGACCCCTGGTATTCCAGCAGAAGCCAAAATACACCTTGGGCATATCTCTGAGAGACCAGCAGCTTTAAAAAACAAAAAAAACCAAAAACAAAACCTGAAGAATCTGAGCACTGGGAATGAAAACAGGCTGCCTTCTGACCTGAAACCGCAACACTTCAGAACGGGGGTATCAAATATAAGGCCCAGGGGCCAGAATCGGCCTAGCAAAGCCTCCAATCTGACCCACTGGAAGGGTTTGGAAAATGTTATGGAGGGCATACATTTTAGACTTTTAGATGTGTTTTCATAAGTTTTACAGCTTCCTCCAGTCATACTGCACCAACGTAAATAATTAGATAAACCATTATGAATTTATTTGGAATTAACAGTCGCAATGAGCTAACAGAACTTTTTCTGTAATTTTACATGTGTATTTCTTACAATTTAAGCCCAAAGCAGCGTTTCATTATCATGTAGAAAAACTGAGATATATTGTTGAAATTACACTTCTTTTTTAAAATTAAAATATCTCAGGGATTAAATGTGTGATTAAACTTCTTTACGCTGACAGAAATAGGAGTTTCACTGGTCCGTCCCACTTAAGATCAAAGTGGGCTGTGCATGGCCCACAGTGTGAAACGAGTTTGACTTCTCTGCTGTAGAAGAACAAAGAATAAAGTCTCATTAGCTCTCGGTACTACGCTGAGTTTCTCTGAGACTTGGTTTAAACCTTTCTTGATCTTGCAAACATCAAATTTTGTGAATGGCACATCTGACCATGCAAGAGAATTTTATTAAGAAAAAGGTTTAGTCGCTTACTTCTGTGGTTATTTTTAATTGCCTCAGCACATCAGTGAGCACCATGTAAGAGTGAATGCTTCTGTATCTAAGCCTCTTTCATTCTGTGATACTATGAGAAACCTATCAAGATATCTTATTTCCCAGGCTCCTCATTTTAACGGGCTTATTGTGAAACAAAACTCACAACGTCAAACAAAACTCACTTTTACACTTAAAGCAAAACTGAGACTGAGGTCGTTAAGCTGTCACAGGGATTGTCTCAATATAAAAGTAAGGATGGAGATGTGCACTTTGCCATCTTCACACTGAAATATTCTGCAAAATATAACGCCAGCTGTTAAATCATTAAAATTACATTTCACTGTTGTGCTCCAGAGCTGAAAAGCCAAGGTAAGACACCCCGGAGTACAAGTAATTCCTACTTTTTTGGAGCCCCAAAACAAGGGAGCAAGATGAATGAGGTTTACAAAGTTGAGGCTGCTTCCAGCTGTGCGTCACCTTTCAAATTTTGTTTGTACTTCACAAAGTGATGCATGTGCCTCATTTTTTTCTGCTGTATTCAACCTCTCTTTCAAACAGACAGTTCAGTTCTCATTACATCTGTATTACTCACAGAGATGATGTCACATGAAATGCAGGAGTGAAGAATTCACCTCACTGTGCTTCATCTTCTGCAGAATTGTGCAGCGCTCCTGTGATGAAGGTAAGCGCTCTGAGAGGTATGTGACCTCTTTGTTAGGGTGATGAATACAGGCATCTGTGTTTACCATTGATGCACATGCTCAGCATCGGTTTATGTGCTTTTATCTGCTGCGCAGCACTGACCAAGTTACTTAAAAGTACAATAATAATAATAACAGATCATAGGCCCACATCATAATTATGGACTATGAAAGCATTAATTAATGCCCTTTGCTACAGTTCAAATAATGCTCAGCTGATATATTAACAGAGAGCTAATATCTGCTGATATTGGCATATATTCTTTGAATGCCACAAACACAGCTGTAAATGAGTAATCCATGACTGGTTGCCCCTTCCTGAGTCTGGTTCTGCTGGACGTTACTACCTTCAAAAAGGCTAAAAAAAAAAACTACATACAGCAGATGAACAGTTTCCTTAAGAAACAGAAAAAATTCCAGCAAACACCTGACGCAGGATCTGAGAGATGTATCTGGCCCTTAAGTTGATCCATCTACTGTTTACTGAGGCCACATCAGAAATCATCTCAGTGGAAGGGCGGCTGTCAAGTCATTCTTAAGGAGAGAAAACAAGGATAAAAGGCTGAGATATGTACACAAGAACTGGACTGAAAATGTGGAGCGATGAATCCAAATTTTTTGAAACTTTTGGTTCAAATCATCATCAATGTGTATGTAGAAGGTCAGGAGAGAGGTACAACAGTGAGTGTCTATGACCATCTGTAATACACAGTGGAGGCTCTGTCTTGGTTTTAGTTGCATTTCAGTTATTTGTGTTGGAGATCTTGTCAAAATCCATAAAATTATGAACACAGAAAAGGACCATTGATTGATTCACCATGCAATACCATCTAGAAAACATCTGATTGCCATTAGCTTCCTTTTTCAGCATGACAATGATCCCAAACACACTGCCAATGCAGTAAAGCATACCTGGATAGAAAAACACACAATGAAGCACTATCAGTCATGGATTGGCCTCCCTAGAGCCAGAAACATCCAAAGGAGAGCTTTGAATGTCATTCAAGAAACCGGTAGAATTATTCCTGAAGACTACTTAAGGAAATGACAAGAAACCTGCCTAAAAGAGTTCAGACTGTGCTGAAGAACAGAGGTGGTCACACCAAAAGTGGAGCTTCAAGGATGTTAGAATTGCACAAACTCTGTTTTATACTTTATTTCCATGTATGTTTGCACAAATTTCAATAAATTGTTGCAGCTATTTCATTTTCCATTTGTACGTGGTAAATGGTGGAGCTCAAACTCTAGTGGGGAACCAAAATATCTTAATTTAAGACTAAACTAATATGTTGTTGAATTGTTGCCCTCTTTTTGCCCTTTAGAAACGTTGCCAAGCCCACAGTATTTATTTTACCAAATTAACTACAAAATATAGCAATTATGAGGAGCCATGAGGTCACTTGTAAGTCATGTTTGTTTGGATTGTTTATAACATTTATAAAGACATCATGTCTCAAGAGAAGATACTACAGGCTTATTTTCAGTTTATTATGTTTATTCTAGGATTCTATTAAAGTAGCTTTGCGTGATTTCAGAGTTCAAAATAACCCTCATTTATCTCAAACTGGGCCTTTAAGCCCCCTTAAATATAGAGATGGTTTAAACAGCAGGTGGGTAGGGTCAGATCTATAAGCCTGAGCTGACCACAGACCAGGCAGGGATATTCATTCTCAGTGACATCACACAGAGACAAAAACAGGCAAAAAAGAGCTTTGGTGATTACTTTTACATGCACGGACCTCATTACTTGAAACGTGTTTAATATGAGCATCCACAAATGAAAAACATAACAGGGCCCCCTTTTGAAAGCTGGACACAGTTCATTAAACTAAATTGTGTCAAATATGTTCAAACTACTCTTTCCAGTAAGTTCCAATAAGGAAAACTGGGGGGGGGGGGGGGGACGACACCATTTTAAGCAAACACTAAAAACTTCAATGGAACAACAATAAAGTGTTATCAATAGATGCTCAGGTGCAAAGAGCTTGTTATGATTGCCTGCCGAGTGGGTGCAAGCTAATTGCTCGATGTCAAGCTGTAGAGAGGATAGTGGAGTGTCAAATGCTCTTCAGGTGCAAATTTTCGCTCTGTTGCTATGTGCCATGGATATTACTGTGTGGCTGCTGAGGGCAATGTGCGAGGGTGGACTATAAATTCCTCAGAACTATGAAAGAAAGTTGCTCTGAAAACAATATATACACATTTGTACATAGGCACGAATGGGTAGTAGGGAACATAATAGCCTGTATTATTTGAAAATTAAGGTTAAATTTGACTTAATTAAGTGACTTCAATCCAGTAATCAATAAAGCAGTGCTGTTTTTGTCCCTTATGTTTTCTAACTGAATATATGGCTATTTAAGGAGTTGAACCTTTTGTGTATGATGGCCTTAATCATTTGGTTCAACATCATTTCCTCTCTTAGATGGATACAGCCATTTTTTCCCAGTCTGGAGTGGAAGAGTGGGCTCATGTAGAGCTCAGCTCATACTTTATGGGATAAATTGGGGCGCCAATGCAAGCCAGGTTTTATCGCCCAAAATCAACACTGAGCCTCACAAATGCTGTTGGAGCTGAATGGGAGCAAATCCTCGAAAGCAGGCTCCAAGAATCTTGTGGGAAGCATTCCCATAAGTGTAGGCGCTGCTATATCAGCAGATTAATTCTCATGGTTTTGGAATGAAATCATATTAGGGTAGCACTTTCGGGTGTCTACTTGGGGATAAACCTATCCTACATCCTTGAGGGAGCACCAATATTCTTTGGATGTCTCCCAATCCCAATATCTCTTTGAACTTTACCTGTGCCATGTGACTATGGGGTCCGGAGATCCAGAAGTGATGCAAGTAAAGGTGACAGATTCCTGGTAGTCAGCTGTGGCATTGAAGGACTGCTGGAACACTGACAACACTGGAGGGACTGCAGACACACACAAAAAAAAGAAAAAAAGGAAATAACACATGGCGCTATTAGATCCTGAGAGTTAATCAAATCAATCCGGACTGAAAGCTAAAATTGGACTATAATCTAGCAAAACGTTCAGTATTCATAATGCTACATGGTGCAGGATTTTCACAAGAAGCAAATAAAAGACTTTCATGAGGATTGAATTGGCCTTGCGAGTGGCCTGTATGCAAGCGCTGGAAAAACGCTACTTCTGCTGGTAATCCCGTGGGGATTTCAAATAACATTTTGACCCAGCTTTGGTAAAAAAAACCCACAAAGGAACCGAATACACTGACGTGAGGCCATTATTCTATTGTGTGCCTCAGAAATGCTCCGTTAAATCTATATAAACAATGGCAAGACAGAAAATGTGTTTCAACATGAAAAAAAAAACAGCTGTGAAAACTAACGCTTTCCTTTTGTGAATAAACTATTCCTGTCAAGCGCTCGAGCTCTGACAATTGTTCCTCTTGTCAGGCCAATTTCTGCAGAATCAAAAGCAGAAGTGCTTTGCTGCCCTGATTTTATAGGTCTGTGGTTTGATGGACATGCAAATGCAAACTCTTTTTTTAGGGCTACAAATGACTCGTATTTATTTACGCAGTGCTTCTTTCACTTTTCTTGCAATCAAAGTGAAATACGACAAGGACGCCCTTTGACAAATCTTTAAAATGTCTTCACAAATCATATTTACATATTTTTTGTTCATCTCCTATGGTTTATGTATTTTTTAAAGCACCTGGATCTTGATTTCTAATAAGAGTTTTCAGATGTATTTTTTGGGCCACCTGACACCACTAAATTCAAGAGAAAGGAGAAACTGGGACTCATATATATACAAAACAGATGGATAAATAGAACCAGAGGCCTGAAGATTGATGCATTTGACTTTGGAGTGAACATTTATTTGCTTCAGTGCCCATACAACAGAAAAGCTTGGACATCAGAATCAAGAATGAACAGATGTGTCCAACATGATTTCATTTTACCGATAACAATGTTTCAAACAGTCACGATGGTACCGTACCTCATTTCACTGTATATAACCCTCATCTGCATGATGTAAGAGACTGCATCAGTCTCTTACATCATTGTGAAGGAATTTTGGTCCAATCCTCTTTAGAGCATTTATTCATACAAAATGTATTATTCAGGTCATTTAGATTTGTAGGTGGTCTTTTATTTACTTCTTTAGGTCCCACCACAGCATTTCGCTTAGGTTAAAGTCTGGACTTTCAGTTTCAACCATTTTATTGTAGATTTGCTGCTCTGCTTAGCATCATTGCACTGCTGTGTGACCTAATTTGAGCCAAGATTTAGATTCACATTTGACTCTAGAATACGTTGGTATACAGAGGAGTTCATGCCCAGGGTGCCCAGGTGCTGTGGCTACTAAATAAGCATTAATCATCCACCACTGTGCTTGACAGCAGCTATGACGTGTTTGGTTTTCACCTAAGTGGCCAAACATCTCCACTTTGGTTCCGTCTGTCCAAAGGACATTGCTCCAGAAGTCTTGTGGTTTGTTTAGATAAAGCAAACCTGACCCATGCTTCATGTTCTTTGTAGCATTCCAGGCAAACCACACTTATTCAGCCTTTTTCTAATGCTACTGTTATGAACTTTAACATCACAACAACGTGTTAACTGGGAGCTGTAGTCTGAGTTGTAGCTCTTGTGTGGGGAGGAATTGTAATTGTCTTTGTCACTGCAGAACGATGGACTTTAAATGCACTCATAATTCTTCCCTGACTGATAGGCAGCAATAACAATAATTCCTTCTCTAAGGTCAATACTGATGTCTTTCCTCCTCAGCACTGTGTTAGCACACACCTGTAAGCTACACGTGTGCACCCTCTGCAAACGTTCTGCTTTTATAGAGGTGCTCACACGTGCTGATGATCAATTAATTAACTGCTACCTATCCTCATAATTTCAATGGAAGCAGTAAAGGTGTACTTAGTTTTTCACTGTAGCTTGCCATCGCCAGTGTATGAATGTGTGTGTGAATGGGTGAATGACTGAATGTAGTGTGAAGCACTTTGGGGTCCTTAGGGACTAGAAAAGCGCTATACAAATGCAGGCCATTTACCATTTTACCATTTCACAGGACTTCAAAGATTCTATTACTCTCAGTCATATATTTTTGCACAAACCATACCAAACTACTAGAAGTTCCCTTTAAATTCCTCTTTGTTTTTGCATGTTTTGCCACTGCATGTACTCTCCTTTGCTAAAATATGCGGTTATATCTGTCTAACTAACTGACATGCATCAGTCAGTGTCCACGTAAATGCGGCACGCTTTGCTAATCTTCCACAAGCAGCTGCATTGGCATGCTGGTAAACAGCAGAGGCCTTGATGACTTTATCAAGAGTATATGGTGAGCGCTGTCGGGAACATGTAGTGTGCCCCTGTCATGCAATCACCTGAGGGCTGTCATCTTGTCATTCAGTGAAAGGAGAGCGGAGGAAGAGCAGGCTTTTCTTCGTCACAAGGGAATGACAGCTTCATGGTGCAAGCATGTTTATCAGGCATCTCAATCCGTTTCACAAGCCTGTATTTACGCTGTACTTTGACTACCACTGTAACTGCTCCGCTGTGGTCCTGACTAGTCACAGTAAGTGATTAATCATGTCTGGAGCAGCTTATTGGAGCTTTGGAACATTTACTCCTCTATTTTGCTTCTGCTGGGCAGTTGACGACTATAGGTGAAAATCAATTAAGTGCACTACCTGAAATCCACTGAGTTAGAATAAGTGAACCAGTGAGTTGCAGTACTGTTGTTGATGTCTGTGGTTTAAGCTTTGAATTCAGGTCCATGAACCACCTAAAGTATCTTTGTGGCCTTTTGTTGTATTGTTTGTATAGTATTTATGGGTTTGTGTTTTCTACTTCTTTTTATTTTTATTTCATTTTGACTTTATGTTTTGAATTCAGTTTAGTTTCCAAATTAAATTTTCTTATTTCAATTCAGTGTTTTTCAGAGTTATTGTATGGAGGGCATATGTCAGAGGCAGGACTGAGAAAAAACAGTAGGTAAAATCAGAGGTAACACAAAAAATAAACACAGAAACATCCACAGCCTTTTGAAAGCTGTTGACTCACAGGTTTGTTTCCATTCAGAGTCTCAATAAACATGTTTATCAATGTGTCATCAGTCAAGGTGTCATAAACTATACTACCTCTATCTTTTTATTTTAGTTTAATTCATTTTCCAACTCACAAAATTATTTCAGTTAATTTGCTTTTTTTTTTTTAGTCTAGCTTTTTTTTAATTTTTGGTTTAGTTTTAGGCAACTATAATGTAAATTATTTCCTATCTATTATCAAATTATAAAGATACTTCATGCACCATGCATGAAGAAATGCATTGTGGGTAAGCAAAAGCACAGGCTGGAAGGATACTGGATCAATCCCATCACATCTGAAGGAGAAGATCAATGCTATCTCCACTTCTCTGTCTTCTCTTGATGAAAAGTCTGCTTTGCATGTTGAAAGGTCACCAAACTCCTCCTCCTTCTCTTTTTTCTCCCTTCTTTTCTAAACGAGGACCATCTAAAAGGTACGGGAGGAAAATAGTAAAAACGACTGAAGTCCAGACAACACGATGAGGACGTGCTATATTTATCAATTAGCCCACCAACTGCACCTACTGCATTTGCATAATTTCATCCGATTACAGCGTGAGCACAGTCGAGGTAAAGGAAATACTCGGTGTAATCATGTCCATCATGTGTTAACATCCAGATAACATCCAGCACACCTGGATACAAGCTGATGTGTAGGTTTAAATCAAGGTTTTAGCTTTATAGAAGCTAAATTTCGCTTCTTCCACAACGAGCTACCAAAATGAGGCATGTGCTGCCACCGGTGTGTTTACAAGATCTGGTCTGCTTGTAATTAGAAGGCATTAAATTAAAACAAACAAAATGCCCCAAATGCAGCAAATTAAAAACTGAAAATTTGTTCTGTGTGATCAAACATGCACTCATTCCAATTCTCTAATTCTACCGCCATCTCGATATTTGAGCAAGTTAATTTATTCTCTAAGAAGAGGATCAACAAAACATTAGACCAACGCTACCCACACAGAGGTGTTGGAGCACATGAATGATGAAATTGCTGAAAAAATGGGGACGCTTGCTATTAGGATCCAAACAAAAACCTGCTTCACAGGTACTGCAACTGGCAGCTGCGAAAGAGATTTTTTTCCCTTTGATCACGTCGAAAGGGTTGAAAAAGCTTGAAAGGTCTCACAAAAAAACAAGCTAAACGTGTTTTTAATATTCAAAAAATGTAAACAGCTCCTCAGTTGGGGGTTTTGGAAGTTATTGAGAGATAATGAAAGGAATTTGTTCTCCAAGTGATGACATCCAGAGGACACTTATTCCACCTAGATCTAACCCCCCCCAACAACTCAAAGATGAAATTAAATATTAAAAATAGCTTCAGGACTCATTAAACTGCTGCTTTTTGATGAAGAACAGCGGTAAAGCAGGTAGACTTGCCTTTTAAAAAAAAAAACATACTGTGGATAGGGAATTCTAATCAAAACAAGGCATCAGTGCAGAAATGAAGCAATGCTTCTGTTCTGTAGTCTTTTTTTAAAGATCAGTTACACTAACAGCACCAGTGTGTATTACTATGAAGAAAAATACATCGGTACATCTACAGTTCCATAGTGTCTGATCTATGTGCTATCTCATGTTGTCTATGTACTGTTTCTCCTAAAAACAAAGAAAAAAATCAATGAAAATCTCCTTTTTTTGTCTGTAAAATCAACACAATATGGAGTGCACGCACACACACATTTTAGGTGCAGAGAGCTTTTCAGGGATAAAAATGGCCTAAGCAATAATCAAACACTATGAGTCCTTTCCAATAGTTCTGACTCTGCGAGTGAGATGAGCAAGCATCTGGCTGACATGATAACCATTGATTTCCAAGCCAATAGATCTCTATTCTCCAGT